GGACACACTTGCAAAGGAGACTGAGGCATGACTATAGAAGTGGAAGAAAGACAGAAAAGTGTGGTCTAAAGGAAGGCAAAAGAAGAGAGTGCTTTAAGGAGCAGTCAATAGTGGAGGCCTGAGGTAGATCCTTGAGGGATACCCAAATGTGAGTGATAGGACACACTTGCAAAGGAGACTGAGGCATGACTATAGAACTGGAAGAAAGGCAGAAAAGTGTGGTCTAAAGGAAGGCAAAAGAAGAGAGTGCTTTAAGGAGCAGTCAATAGTATCAAAGCCTGCCTTGGAAAGGTTAAGCTGGATATGGATTAAATGTGCTCATCGGATTTAGTGGACAAGGTGAGAATAATTTCAGTGAAACAGCAAGAGCCACAGCTGCATTTCAGTATGTGATAAAAAAAAAAAAAAAAAAAAAGCAGTGAGCGCAGACAGCTGATCAGAGAAGATGATTTGGAGTAGAGAGAGTGGTGACAAGAGGGGATGTGCTGTCAAGGAAGAGTTTCTGTTAATATAGGAGAGATTTGAGCATGTTTATGTGACAATACTGAGCATCTGGCAGAATGATACCAGAGTATGTAAGGCCTGGAATTCCAAGTAGGAGACTTAGTACCCAGGCAATGAGGAGCCATTTCATGCACGAGAATGACATGTTCATCATCCTGTGCAGGAAGACATGTTGGCGCTGTGTACTACTGCTTCCAGGGGACATCCCACCCTTAAAGAAACTCATTCTGCCTCAAAATAAGGCAGAGGCTTAGTTTTGGCTTTTAGATGAGGGTCTGAGAAGAATCTTTCACCACACTTTTATATCATCACTTCAAAATTGCTGTCTAATTATCTCTGTTTTCTCACTAGAACAAATGTTTTTATTTAGTTTGCAATTATTACAACTTTAATACAATTGGATAGATTTAAAAGCCTAGTTCAGCAGTCAGCTTTCTATTTGATAAAGGGTAGTCAAATCTGTAGGTTTTTTTGTCCTAAGATCCTTAAAGCCAACTCTTCTGATCCAGTGTAGCAAACTGTCATAAACAGCAGCATAGGAATAAAAATGAAACCCTAGTTAGGTTTCTGACAAAAGAACTGAGTAGATAGTGGTGCTATCTAGTATAAAGCTGAAAAGCAAATTTTAACTGAGAATTTAAAAAATTAGTGTTTTGTGTGGCTGAGGGAAGTGGGTAGAAGGGATTACATTGTATGATGAATTTAAATCAAAGAATTGCAGTCATATTTAGAGCAAAAGCAAATCTCAAAGTTGCTTCATAAACAAGAATTAATACAAGATAATAAATTTAGACCCAAATGGGAAGGTCCATGAACTTCAATATCTCCTGCCTTGTTCATAAATAACAATATTGATTGAATATAAATTAATGCATGAATGTATATATTTGTGTACAGAAACTCATGAAACCTCATTTATTTGTGAGAATGAAGAAGAGAGCAATTTTTATATTACAAATACCTAAATTAAACCATTTAGCTTTTTTTAAAATCTTAGCCAAATGGATCTTATCTTTGTGAGTCTTATCTACATGAATCTGTTCTTTACACCTCCCCCTCTCAAAAGAAAACTGTGTGGTTAACAATCACTCCTGCCATGGCTTTTGCTTTGGGTCTTTGGGAAGAGAACTTAAGACTAAGGGGCGAACATTAAATGACAACTTATGAAAAGAGGTGGAAAAAGGACTTAGAAGAGTTTCATTTGTAATTCTACTATGTATTTCCTTCCAATGAGCAATACAAGTATATTCTGGGAGTGGTCAGCATGTTTTATTTTGCTTTCTCCCTCGATTGGATATTCTTTTTTAGAAATTCTCCCCTTCAAATAATGGTTATTATTTCAACTGAAATATCAAGCAAGCATTTTTGTATATTCTATGGAAAATGTGTAGTCATACAAGATATTCACTGGTATATTAAGAAAGATTCAGTACCTTTATTAAGAAGCCATGAAATGTGTACTTGGGGCAAATCCCAAAAAGGGTGTAGATGTAGTAAATCAGAGAAAATTGTGCCTAATTGGGATGGTAGAGAAAGAAAAGATCCCTTTTCAGTAGAGTTAATAGCGAGATTTCTTCTGTAAACCTAAAACTCAAACCCTGGATTAGTATTCTCAACCCTGGCCGAACTTCAGAACAACCTACATGGCTTTTGAAAAACATGTTCAGGTCCCCATCCCAGATCTACTAAATTCAAATATGCAGAGTTTGCCTCTCCTGGCCCTGCATTTATCTATGTTTAAAACCCCTCCTTGATTCTGATGTACAGCCAGGGTTGAGAATCACTGCTCCAGAGCTTACTGCTACCGTTGAATTGTTAGAGAAGCAACAACTTCCTTATATGAGGGCTAAGGGAAACGTTGGAGTATGAGGAAAGGTTTAGTGTTAACTAAAATCCTCTAGGCCTCTGACTGGAGGGGTTGGTAGGCTGATGTAGTACTGTGTTAGTGAAAATCCTCTAGGCCTTTGATTAGAGGGGTGGGTAGGCTGATGTAGTATTGTGCAAATGGCCCTATGGGCACAAAAAATGGGAATAGAAGGCACAGTTCAGCTTTCTCTTGTATTGTTGTCTTTGTAACAACATCCTAGACAATTTAGAAAAGTAGGTGCTCAATTAAAGTTGACTCATAAGAAACGAGTTTGAGGCAACAAGATATAGGAAATAAATTCAATACAGAAGGGCACCAAGTTATAATCCAAAAATCAAGAGGCCTAGAGCAGCTAGTAGTTACTGAGTACTTGAAATTCGGCAAGTGCGAAGCAAACTGAATTGAGGTACACGAGTGTAAAATACACACCGGTTTGAAAGACTTCGCATGAGAAAAGTGTAAATTATATCATTAATAATTTCATATTGCTTACGTGTTAATATTTTAAATATAGTAAACTAAGTATATTAAACCTATGTTTCTTTCTACTTTAACGGGACCAGTAGAAACTTTAAAATTACATAACGTTGCTCTCATACAGTTTCTCTACGGGACAATGCTGATGGTTAAGACCAACCTGGGAAGACTACCTGGTACTAACAGAAGGGGTGGCATAGTCAAAGTCGAAGACAGAGGAATGTAATAGGCTTTGTTTTTAAGAAGCCATTTAAAAGTAACCTCTAGAAAAGATAGCCACTGTGTGAGATCACCTGGGAAATACTGTAGGAAGAGCATCTCTAAGGAGGAAACTATGAACTAGTTTCCGCTATAAACATCAAAGAACTTTTAAGTTCTTCACTTCAAGGACTCTGATATAAGTAACTCGCCCCGCACGAGAAGCCCAGCCAGATGGCGAGGGAGGGCCCAGCGCCGAGGGAGGAGCATTCCCGGGTCCTTGCAGGGAAGGCCCAAGAGCCACGCGGCTCAGGAAGCCACCCCCGCGAGTGGATAGGAGGACACTCCCTGGGCCCCACCTTCGATCACTTTTCTTAGGCCCTTACCCTGAAAGGAGCAATCTCTTCCTCAACCTGGGGAAACAACGCCCTTCCGGCCCACGCTTGCGGCTGTACTCCAAGACCGCTCACACAACTAGCTTCCCTAAAGGACGAGACCCAGATGGGACAGACGGATGGGGGAAGAAGGGGGTAAAAAGCCCAGGTGTGCACTGCAGCTGCACGCGCCTCTGCGGCTGTACTCCAAGACCGCTCACACAACTAGCTTCCCTAAAGGACCAGACCCAGATGGTACAGACGGATGGGGGAAGAAGGGGGTAAAAAGCCCAGGTGTGCACTGCAGCTGCACGCGCCTGCGCGAAAACCCCGCTCGGCCCCAAGTTTCAGCCTCTGTTACGAGGTCCTCGACCCGCCTCGTTTTCCCCGTCCCACCGGTTACGTCACAAAGATTGACGTGTAAAGCATACAATAACAGTCCCTCTATCCGTGAGCCATCAGGGAAAGGGGGGGTGGGGGAGAGAAGACGGAAGGAGCAGGCTTCGAGGGCTGGCTCGTCCCGGTCGCCCAATCAGAGAGCTCTGGAGAGGGAGGGGCGGGGCCCGGGAAGCGG